CCCGGGGGGAGGCAATCTGAATAAATTTACAAGTTCGTGGTTGTAGATAAAATGAAGTTCTAGTTACGGAAAGGGGGTGGGGGGAGAGAGGGCAATCTGAATAAATTTACAAGTTCGGGGTTCTTGAAAAAGTGAAGTTCCAGCTAGGGAAGGGGGTTGGGGGTTGAGGGGGGAAGGGGGGAAGGGGGGAAGGGGAGAGTCCCGATAGTTACAAGTTCCAGCTATTATTAGAACACCCACCCTAACTGTCGAAGCGATTGGAAATTCAATTTGGGAAGTATTAAGATATTCCCGCTAGGGCGGGCTGTATCTGCATCGAGTCTTGATTTCGCTGAAGATGCATGCCCCGTGGAAATTTAATTCCCTAAGAACAACTGCGGGCCGACCTTAACGCGCCGGAGATAGAGCTATTTAAAAAAAGGACAAAAAACAATCTCAAGATAAGGCACCACTCGCCATCCGCCAATATTTTGAATGCATCTCGACAATACGCTTGTCAACATACGTTATACATTCCAAATCATGTTGGCGGATGGCCAGTGGGGTACAACTGGGCTCATAATAACGGGCGGGCAGCAGAAAAGATAAGGCCTCGCCCCACTCCTCTCCACATGCACAAAAGACAAAAAAATATGGAGTGCAGTGTACCTTTGCGTGTTCTAGCGCAAGATTCAGTCTAATTTTGCACATTTCGAACGGAGTGGAGCGAGGCCTTTACTATAGGATTGGAGATAGGTTTTATTTTATTTTTATTTTATTTTTATTTTTATTTTATTTTATTTTATTTTATTCTTATTTTATTCTTATTTTATTCTTATTTATTTTATTTTATTTTATTTTATTTTATTTTATTTTTACAATGGTCCGATGGACCACGGATCAGATATATTAAACTCGTCAGAACAGATACAGTGCACTTGATCTTAACCAAAAGGCCGAGAAAGGTATTGATTGGAGATTTAAGGATTAAAAATTATTTGAGCTTACGGTAATCACAGCACCTGGAGGAACAGGTTCATCCCCTCTGGACAAAATGTCATCAACGGAACCACTGTACTTGAGCAGGATTTGTTCTGTAGGTCAGTACATTCTTCCCTATTTACGAATACCCAAAAAAAAAAAAAAAAAAAAAAAAAAAAAAAGTTACCAACGAACGGATAATGAACGGATAAGCCCTTTTTTTAAGTTTTTTCTTATTTCTAAATTAGGAATAGTAGAACACGCGCATTCCGCACATGCAGACTTAGCCGTCCACGTTCTTGAGGAGGAATTCATCCACAATCAGTGACGTGGCCTCGTCGATGGCTGCCACGTGGATGTCGCCGTAATAATGCGGAAAAAGCGCAGAAGGGACAAATGCAGACCCCTCGTACTTCAATTTCGGTCCGTCGATTTTGTCGGTATTCACTTTCAGCAGGTAGAGATCAGAACGCCCAGCAAAGAAAAGCTTGAGAGTGCCAGCAAGTTGCTTGAAAGTACTAAGATGAATAAAGCCCGATTTGCGGTCAAGTTCAGTCGCACTGTCGCCGTCGAAACTAATCCTTCCCTCTGCCTGAATTTTTCCCCATTCCGTTGCTGTCGAGATCTTGTAAATGTGACCAGGTCCCTTTGCACCGACCTCTGAACCTGGACCAACAACAGGTCCTGATTCAGTTCCTGGGTCTGTTACTGGAACTGCGTCCTTTTCGCTGTCTGCAACGACGGTGGCGGTAGACAGGGACTCCATGATGCAGGCTTCTCTCTCTCTCTCTCTCTCTCTCTCTCTCTCTCTCTCTCTCTCTCTCTCTCTCTCTCTCTCTCTTGTTCTCTCTGTGGTATCCTTTTTGCTTGAATTTTTTGAGGCTCCTTGTTCGAGTTGAGTGACGTGGCACAAGGGTTCAACCCATGAACCGAAATCCGGACCAGATACGAAATTAGGACCAGGACCAAGAACGACGTCCCAGACAGCAACAATCTTCCAGGGGCTCTGATTAGGGCGCAGTCGCACTAGGACTTTCCAGCCATGTATCTGAACCAAAATAAGGCTACATTCAGTCCGAAAAGTCCACGTGTGAGTATGGTCTTAGCTGAATCAAACCCCCAGCGCCTGCACAATGAACAAAATGCGGGAACGCTACCCTTCGACTTACTGTACATCCCTTTTTTTTTCCAGCCATGTATCTGATCCGAAACAAGGCTCGATTCAGTCCGAAAACTCCTCGGGTGACGAATGCTGCACTCCCCACCTATACCCCTCCCCTCTACGTCCACCTCCATCCATCCGCATTTTCTCATTTCTCCTCCTTTTATCCCTCCCTCCCTCCCTCTCTCTCGCCCCCTTCCTCCCTTCCTCCCCCTCCCTCTCTCCTCTCCATTTTTTTTCCTCTTTTCTTCATTTTCATTTCTTTCTCTCTTCTCCCTCTCCTTCCTCTCCACCTTTCTTCATTTCTCGTGCTTTTTCTTTCCTCTTTATTATTTTCTTAAAAACAAACCAAAAAAAAAAGCACTCGAGCCCGGGCAGTCCTCAACACCTTTTTGTTTTTCTTCTTTTTTTGTGAGTACTTTTTTCTTCTTTTTTTTAGAACTGGGACCACCACTACCCAGCTCCGGTGTAGAGCCTGCGAATAATATCTCTAGGTGCAGAGATGGCCCAAACCGGCGGATCCCTCATCTTTTCTTTCCCTTCTTTCCCTTCTTGTCCTTCCTTTTCGTTCATTTTTCACCTTTGTCCTTCCCCTTTTTCCCTTCGTTTTCGTTTCTTCCTTTATCTAACTTTACCTCTTGCATTCAATTGCCACATAAACACGATGCTGGGCTCGATTTGCCGTCAACACTAGCTCAGAATAAACCTGGTCCTCTTCCTTGTTCAAGTGCAGAGCAGGATCTTGACTTGAAGAGCAGACCAGGACAGCTCAACCCTAAGAGGAGGAGGAGGAGGGGGGGAAGGAAGAGGAGAACGAAGACGATGAGAAGAGGATGAGATAGCATACCGACAAAGGTAACCCTGTCTAGCTATTCTTTCATCGGCGAGAGTCCTCTCTCTCTCTCTCTCTCTCTCTCTCTCTCTCTCTCTCTCTCTCTCTCTCTCTCTCTCTCTCTCTCTCTCTCTCTCTCTCTCTCTCTCNCCCAACCAATCGGGGTAAGGACTGACTGACAATTTTTCTTTTGTAAGTACTTAGTATGATCTCCACTCTATGAATTGGTGGCAATTTTGGTTAAAATGACCTTAAGCTTGGGTTTTGTTATAAATGGCATTAGAAGATATCTGAAAATTGAGGCCTCGGTTAACCGCCTCTCAACCAGTAGAAACCCGGTGAGGCCATCTGTTATAACGACACAAAATAAAATCCAACAAGTAAAAGAGGCCTCTCTCTCTCTCTCTCTCTCTCTCTCTCTCTCTCTCTCTCTCTCTCTCATCCATCTTCCCCGTCTTCTTCACTTGCTTAGGAAAAGGGGATCCGACTTGGCAGATGGAAAGTACACAAGGCCAAGGAAGCGTTTCGGCTATGGCGGTGGCTATGGTGGTGGCTGCCCGCAGGATGGGGACAAGGGTTTGGAATCAGGCTACGAATACCGAAGAGGAGTAAAAGCAATTATTGTTCAGAAGGAAACTCAATCAGACTTGGCAATTAGAGAACACACGGCGAAGGTAGCACTTTCTTGGGCATGGCTGTGGCTGGGATGGGGAGAAGGGTAGGGCAGAGTCGGGCTATGGATACACCAGGGTGCAATTGCTCAGAAAGAGACGCCGTCACACTCGGAAGTTGGAAAGAACACCCCTGAAAGGCAAGGCAACGTTCTGGCTATGGCTGTGGCTAAGATAGGGAGATGGCTATGGCTATGGCGTTTTGGCTATGGCGTTGGCATTTTGGCTATGGCTATGGTTATGGCTGTGGCTAGGATAGTGATATGGCTATGGGCTTATGGCGTTTTGGCTATTTGGCTATGGCTGTGGCTAAGATAGGGAGGTGGTCTTCCAATCGGGGGATGCACACTGCAGGGTGCAAATGCAGGCAGACAGGCCAAGTCGGGATCGGCACACTATATCAAAGACCAGGTCAGGCCAGCTCTTCTTCAGATCTGGCCTTAACCATCCGTCCCCCTGGTGGCTCGCAAGAGTGTGAGTCAAGTACAAAAAGTCCGTACATCCGTACCTCAGTCCATCTGTACACACGGGCAGAATTCTATATATCGAAAGGCCAGGTCTTTCAGGCGGATGTGCCTGCAATCTGTCCATCTGTCCATCTGTCCGTACAGATGTACGGACATCTCAGGAAAAACATTTATGCATCATAATTTCATGGAACATGAATGCAAGTCGAGACACGTGTCCGATCCAGATACAACGTGCATAATGCCCATGTGCTGTAATCGGGGGAAGTGGGTAGCCATATTATAAGGTGACAGGAGGCTTACAGTGGGAGCTAAAATAGAGAGCACGGGTAAGGAGAGATAGGAGGCTTCAGGACTTAATACATATTACATATATGGACAAATACATATATACATAACAGGAATGCAGCACGGGGTTAATATATAGGAGGCTTAAGCGTACGAATTAACGCCTCTACTATGCAACATTACGGCACATCAATTGGACACATACATATATGAGATCCTAAAGGAGCAATAGGACAAGCATGAGGTGGCAGACGTGAACTTTCGACGTCTTAGCTATGTGCGATACGCAGATGACTTTGCGATAGCATGGGTAGAGAGAATAGGAGGCTATAGGAAAAGAGCAGACAGCACCGGTAAGGAGAAAAAGGGAGGCTACATAAAAACTTAAAAAAACAAAAAAACAGGAGGCTAATCGGGGAGGCACAGCGACTACGGTAGCCACTCAGATGATGCTCGGTCCCTCTGCTACCGGCGGTCCTTCCCCCCTGGCCGGTGGGGGTTCCCTGAAGGCAATAAATAAAGGCCACCCTGGGCTGAAAAGGCCACCCGATGTCAGATTAGACAATATTGAATTTAACTGGGCTGGTTAGTCCGATGATAATACCTCAAGGCCATCATCCTTTAAAGAAAAAAAGGAAAAAAAAAAGAATACGGGTAGCAGGAGTAATCGGAGGCTATAGGAAAAGAGTAGTGAGCACGAGTAGGGAGAATAGGAGACTGTAGGACAAGAACAGACAGCACCGGTAAGGAGAAAAAGGGTGGCTATATAAAAACTCAAAAAAAAAAAAAAAAAAAAAAAAAGGAGGCCATTAAACAAGAATAGCATAACCAGGAGGCCATTAAACAAGAATAGCATACGGGTAGCAGGAGTAATTGGAGGCTATAGGACAAGAACAGAGAGCACAGGTAAGGAGAAAAAGTGACTATAGGACAAGAGCAGACAGCACCGGTAAGGAGGAAAAAGGATATAAAACTATGTATCAAAAAAGAGGCTATAGAACAAGAATTATATGGGTAACGTAGAATTGTACACGGGTAATAGGAGGCTATAGGACAAGAAATGCAGCGACTACCGTCTTCCCCCGAACATAACGCACCCTGGTAATGAATGTATGCAAGCTTTATTTCCGGTCAGGTGCAGCCGAAGTGGGGATGCGTTGTGTTCGGGGGAAGACGGTAGTGCTAAGAGGAGGTTGCAGAACACGGACAGAGGGAGGGCACGGGTGGGTGACAGGAGGGAGAGGATAAGAGCATACTCGCACTAGGGAGTGGAGAGTGATTGGTGGACGTGATTGCAGTCAGATGCATCCAGGTACGCCCGGAAATTTGGTCAGATACATTTTGAATATAGAGTAAGTGTGAGTACCCCCCCCCTAGGAGTGGAGAGCACGTTGTGATTTATCAACGAAAAAAAAAAAAAATAGACCAAAAAAATAGAGAGCACGGGTTGGGAGAAATAGAAGAAATAAAGGGCCTCGCTGTCCTTGCTTGGGGACATCCGTTAAAATTGGAACGATACAGAGAAGGGTAAATTAGCAAAATGGTCCAATTTCTTAAAGAAATAAGGCCACACTACACTACAGAACACTGTATATACATGTATCTGGACCTCATCATTCCCCATTTAAAAAAAAAAAAAAAGAAAAAGAGCTCATAATCGTCCCCGGGTAGCTCATAATTCCCCATTAAAAAAAAAAAAAAAAAAAAGCTCATAATCGTCCCCGGGTTCGGAGAAATAGGGCCTCGCTCCACCATAGAACACTGTATATGTATCTGGAGCTCATAATCGTCCCAAATCATTCCAAATGTTGGAGTCCTCGAAACGCACCTTGTTCAGAAAGGCGTCCAAATGCATGGCGAATGTTGAGCAGTGGAGCGAGGGCCATACTCCGGGTAAGACTGTAGGAAAGCAGTAGAGGGATAAGAAAAAAAATGAAACTGGGGACGGGCGTCAGGGATGTGTGGGGGGGGGAGGGAATGGTTTGATTTTATTATTATTATTATTATTATTATTATTATTATTATTATTATTATTATTATTATTTTGGGGAACGTGACAGAGGGGATGGTTTGGGCTTATACACTCAGGGCACGAACAGATAAGGGGTACGGATAGCGACAGGGAGTAGGGTCGGGATAGGAGAGAGGAGAATAAGGTAGGTAGGTATAGCATCCGGATAGAGTTAAGATAAGGCAAGGATTAGGGTAGGGATCGGGGTTCGAGTAGCTACCTGGGCTACGTCGGGACTAAAACCAGGATGTAGTTCCAGCTACCCCGCCTGCCTCCGAATAGAATGTACACATTCATTATCGCCGTATCTAGACTCAAAATGCGACAAATACAGACATAATGACCGTGCGTTCGCTTCGCGGGAAAGCAGGTCGGGAGCTGTCTCTTATACACATCTAGATGTGTATAAGAGACAGCTCTCTCTCTCTCTCTCTCTCTCTCTCAATGCCTCTCTCTCTCTCTCTCTCTCTCTCTCTCTCACACACACACACACACACACACACACATATGAGTGCACAGTTGCGTGCGCGCGCTCTTGCTCGCTAGCTTGCTGGCGTTCTCGCTGCCTCGATCACACCCTCTATCTTTCCAATGTAGGTTAGCTATCCTTGTCTGCCTATGCCCCTATGCCATCTATCTTCGTAATTATTGATCTTCGTACCTATATATTGTCACAAACATTCTATCATTCTACCTGTCCCACAAGTTATTCCCTCCCTCTCCCTCTTGCTCCCCCTATCTCTACCCTCTGTGAGTATACCTATATAGCTCCCTGGACTGGACGAGGGTCAGCCGACTGGCAGTTCTTCTGAAACAAGTCAATACGCAAGTTTATTACGTTCGGACTGCGCATGCAAAGTCCTTTCATAAATAAGATATTTATTTGCCACCACTGAAAAATCTCGTTGGAATGTATCTGGCCGCTATGCTGGTAAGCGGAAAATCCTGCAACAAAGAAAAACTGAACACACAAGACAGAAATGTCAACGCGAGGCCGTGCACGAGTACACGAACAGAGAAGACACAGTGTAAAAGAGAAGAAATAGACGGCAAAACAGGAGCAAGGATAGCGAGCAAGCGGAGGGGGGGGAGGGAGGAGGAGGAGGAGGAGGAGGAGAGGGAGAAAAATCCTCCTGCCTCAAAGAAAACCTGGAGCAACACGAGGAGGGGACGCCATTGCGAAGTCGTGCATGAGTAGACAAACAGAGAAGAGACGATTTTAAAACGAGCAGAACGAGAAGGAAAAACAGGAGGAAGGACGTTGAGGTAGAGAAGAGATACATGAAAGCAAGACTGAGTACACATGGAACGCAACGAGCACCAAAGAATAGCATAATGAGGAGGAGAGGTACAAGGATAGCAACAGCAGACGACTAAAGCAGTTATGGACAGAAGCAGTGAGTGGAGTAAAGAGGAGAGAGAGAAGTAGGAGGAGGAGGAGGGTGATGGAGACTGGGTGATTGTGAAACAGCGCAAGAGAACAAAAGCCAGAAATTGAACGAGGAAGAGGATAAGGGATGGGAAGACAAGGAGGGAGAAAACACGGTCCCGGCAGAGATGATGGGGTGCACTCCGCCAATGCTCATGTCAAAAACTGTACGCAGCATTGCCGACAAAAACTGCACGCAGCATTGCCCGCAGGCTAGAAAAGAAGAAATCGACGCTCTGCAACCAGCAGGCGCAGAAAGGCCTCAACCCAAAGTCGGAGAGCCCTCTGGGGAGAGAGACGTAATCTACCTCACTCACTGAGACAGACAGGGGACAGGTCAGCCTGCCCGGCCTGCAGGGGCAGAGATGCATTCTGCCTGACTGCATGGCCTGTGATGCGCTCCTGTACAAGTTAACCTGACGACCAATCTGGACAGGGCTTCCAGTCATCTCCACTTCTGTCTTCCTCTTGCCATCCATCCGAATCTGACCTGAAATGGCACTAAATACAGATCTCGAGTCGGTGAAACTCCGACGAAACAGTTCGTCACAGCCCCCCTCGTTTGTCGTCCTCTTCTCCCTCTTTACGATATATATGTATATTACAGAATATGTATATACTTGGATAAACACAAAACAATCATGAACCATCCTCGTTCTTTTTTTTTTTTCTTCTTCTTTTTTTTTTTTTTTTTTTTGAATCTATCACAGAACAAATTAAACATGGAACCATTTGAGACATTTGTGTGTGACATCAGATAAAAGCTGGCTGGGATCCGATGGACAGACTACATGAGAAATGCTACATGTAGTCCTTTGGGACATCCGTTAAAATTGGAACGATACAGAGAAAGAAGATTAGCATGGCCCCTGCGCCATCAAGGATGACACACATCAATCGAGAACTGGTCAAAAAAAAAAAAAAAAAAAAAAAAAACAACCTACACGTATGAAAGGCCCAGACGACCCTTATCTGATGCTGCATGGATTTATCGGATCCGAATCATCAGACAAATTGTGCACATGAAAAACGCACAGAAGAGACGCCCTATAGGAGTGTAGAAACTGAAGACGCCAGACTTCTACTCACAATTGGCCTGGAATCGTGTGCATGAAAAAGGCACAGAAGACAACCACCACATATTTCTGTCGTCACATTCTTGGGTTGATGTGATGGTCAAAGCCTCTGAAGACAAAAACAAGAAAAAGAAAAAAAAAAACGAAAAAAAAAAGCTTCTGAAGACATGGTGACGAAACAAAATCGACATGCCGTGTCGCTGCCAGAGAATCCTCGTACAAATCCCAACTCTCTTCTGTTACGATCCCTCTGCCTGAGCGGAAGCAAGCAAAGGGGGAGAAGGAGGTGGGGAGGCTGTGCAGCTCTCGTCCACTAACTGCCTTTTCATCACCCCCAGCGAACATTTTCGTCGCTCTCAGACTGCACCTTATCCCTGTCTCACCCCCAGCGAACATTTTCGTCGCTCTCAGACTGCACCTTACCCCTGCCTGCCTTCTCCTGACGTCGTAGGAGCAATGATTGCTTGGGACGGATCGACAACAGCATGTCAACGCATCAAGTGCGGCAAGATATGTACTGGAATGCCGCACGCATGACAACAATCTCGTCTCGCTTTAGAGGAATCCCCTGTCTCACTCCCAGTGAACATTTTCGTCTTTCTCAGACAGCAGCTTACCCCTGCCTTCTCCCGACGTTGTTGGCGCAATGATTGCTTGGGACGGATCGACAATAGCATGCCAACCCATCAAGTGCGGCAAGATGTACTGGAATGCCGCACGCATGACAGCAATCTCGTCTCGCTTCAGAGGAATCTGAATCTTTTCCTTCACATTCTCTATGTCGTTATTCACTTCCAAAGTGAAAAAGATTGCGCTGCCGTCCTGTGATAAACGAACGGTCAGCCTCTTATTCACCTGCCCTTGCTTGCTTTGCCCCATGTTCGGATCGTGGTAGAACTCACACTCGTCCGACACCAGCAGTCTCCCAATTTCCGTTGCCGAGAGGGCAAAGACCTGCTTTTTCTGCCAGTCATATTTCTGTGTGCCAATCGCTGGAGCGAACTCCAGAAAGACACAACCCTCTCTTGCGAGCGTGAGGGATCCACTCTCCAGTGATTTAAAGACGGGCAGAATAGGTCGGTAAGCCATCGCCGACTTCCCTTTGTACACGGTTTGATATACATATACCTGACGGCTCCGGCTCCGACCATTGGCCGCGGTAAGGTCTGAGCGAGGGAACAGGCTTGGTGGATATTTGGCAGCTTGTCTGTGAATGCTCCTCGCACAGCGGAACCCGGAAATCTGTGGAGGTCCACCTTGCAATACCCTTCTCCGTTGGAAAAACGCTCGATGAACCCAGGTCCAGTTGCTCTTGACGCCGGCTATGGCGCGAGTAAACATCGGGAGAGAAAACGACGTCCTCGCACACGCCTGCATCTCGACGAAACAGAAGAGTGATGGAGTGCTGCCGTCGCAAACAAGGGGCTCCCTTGTTTGCTTGTCGACTTGGCTGGGCTCGAGAAGCTGCAACTGTGTCCTCTCGTCTGCAGCCGGCCGTCTTCCACTTCCACTTCCGCTTTCCTCGGCTTCTGCGCCACTAAAGCTATGCCTCTGTTTTCCTCTTCTTCTTCTCCGTTAGGCTATGGCTGTGCCTTCCACTTACTCACCGGCCTGTGATTTTTTTTTTCTTTTTCTTTTCTGGGCACGCCCCGATGATCCAACGAAGACGGTACAGTTGTCGTCAGCGAAAACGTTCCAACATAGAGCGCACACAACTTACTCCGACACCAGGACTTCCGCTTTCACAACGTATCTATCTTGCAGTGTCCGATTCTGTCCAATTCTCATTACCCTTGGCTTTTTTGTCTTTAGGGTGTCGATTTACTGCTTAAACCCCTCAACTACAGTCATTAAGTTGAATAATGAATTAAGCAATTGAATAATGAATAAGAAGAGAAAAAACGAAATCGAAACAGGAGATCGATTGCAAAAAGGAGTTAGACCGCCAGTACACGGCCCCAGACTTGCTGAAAAGAAACTCCTCGCTTATCCGGAAAAGCCGGCACTGGCGCGCCCTCGATAAAAGAAATCGGTGGCCGACGGCGCTTTTCAGCCTCTGAAAACACGGCCCTGCGGTCGATGTGAGGCGTGTACCACCAGTTCACGCGTGCCAGTATCCGCGGTAAGACTGTTCCGCTTCGGGCTTGGGCCGGTTATGAAAGTGGGGCAGGCCACTTCGAAAAGGCGCAGTCGCAGGCTCGCGAGCCTTGACAAGTAGCCTCGACGACTTAGGCTCATGTGAATTGGCGGTTTATACAAATCTTTCAAGATGAAGATAAGACTCGTCCTTCCCCCCTGGAAAGAAAAAAAAAAAGAAAAAAAAAAGCTCAAGAAGATGGGCAAGGTTCAATCAGGAAAGAGCGAAGTAGGCTTGACAGGGTAGGCCGAGGCCGATCTGGGGATGCGCAAAGAGGAACAAGGAGACTGGAGGATGCATTCTAAAACATTTCATACATCTATACAATTTATGATAGAAAATTTCACCAAACTGGACAACATTATTCACTCTGTGGGACTAGAAGACTTCTGCAGGACAAAGAACTTCCCCTCACCCTCCATGGGACTCCCTTACGTTGAGTCCATGAAACTCCCACGAAACAGATTGTCACAGCCCCTCGTTTGTTTTCCTCTTCTCCCTCTCTGCCTACGGTTTACGGGACAGCTCTGCTTGACGATATATAGTGTCACAAGAATACCAGAGCGCAAAAGCAGAAAAAAAATAAACAGAAAGAAACAAGGAAAAAGTGAATTCGTTTTTTTATCTTCTTCCTTACAACTCCAGGCAGCTCTACTTGACGATATATATCGTCAAATAGAACTGCCCGGTAAACCGTAGGCAGAAAGAGAGAAGAGGACAACAAACGAGGGGCTGTGACAAACTGTTTCGTCGGAGTTTCACCGACTCATCAGGAGGCTGAACCCTCAACAGTCTGCAGAATCCCCTCACTGATTACACTGTAAATGATAATCTACCTTAACCAAAATCGAAGTAGACTATCACTCACCCACACCAGATGGAAAACTCTACAGACTGTCGGTTCACACCCCATCACAAACCAAAACATCCACGAAACAAAGAAAGGTCTGTCACAGCCAAAAAATACACTCCAGACACGCCGCTGGCACTAGAGACACAGCATGGCCGCCTAGTAACGGCCCCGACCACTGCCGCTCGACCTGACTGGAAAAAACCGTAGCAGGAAGCTAGCGAAGTCGTAGCATATATCGTCACAAACAGAACTGCCCGGTAAACCGTAGGCAGAGAGGGAGAAGAGGACAACAAACGAGGGGCTGTGACAAACTGTATATATATGTCAGAGCGCAAAAGCGAAAAAAAACAAGAAAAAACAATTCGTTTTTTTATCTTCTTTCTTACAACTCCCCCTGTTCAAAACCTCTTGCGTATCAAGGCCGCCCACGTGGATGTAGGTTGAGCGGCGGCTGCCCCCACACCCGTGTGTCATATCGACCCACTTGCACAGCCAAAGGGCAAAGAGGCAAATAAAAGAGGGAGGAAACGGCCGAACACAACAAAACAGGGGGAAACAAATCCTAGATGACAAGTCCCACATGCAAGCACCGCCCCCACCGTCACAGACCAAACGACGGGACAAGACCAACCAGGATATCAAAACACCTTGCCTGCGTCAAGCAGAGCTGCCTACGGTAAACCGCAGGGGCAGAGAGGGAGCGAGAGAAGAGGACAACAAACGAGGGGCTGTGACGAATTGTTTCGTCGGAGTTTCACCTACTTGTCAGGAAGCTGAACCCTGTATATATCATCACAAACAGAACTCTGTATATATATATATATATATATATCGTCACAAAGTTATCAGAGCGCAAAAACGAAAAGAAAACAAAGTTATCAGAGCGCAAAAACGAAAAGAAAACAAAGTTATCAGAGCGCAAAAGCGAAAAGAAAAAGTTATCAGAGCGCCAATCCTGTTTTTGCCGAGCCTGATTTTCACTGCGCACCGAGTTTTGCCGAGCGTGGGTCCCGTTGCATTTTCTTTTGTGGTACGCACAGCAGTTATATCCGAAAAAGACAAAAATGGAAAAAAGAAAAAGGAGATTAGAAACAGAAACTCCCCGAACGCGGTCATAGCCCTCGGATACATTCTACGACGTGCCGGAGAGGCCCCGTTCCCAGTGAGGGCATCTGTCCGTATGAAAACGAATGAACAACAAAACAAAAAAAAAAACTCGCCTTATGCTGCGATCATGGTCGGATACAGAACGCTACAGTGCTGATTTGAGTATGATGGGAGTGAGGCAGTTAGCTGCCCCCCGTGGAATCCACCCTGCCTCACTGGCAGGGCACAAAAAAAAAAAATGAAACAAGAAAAGCACTCACGTCCCTCACATAGAGTGTAATCCGAATACAAGACTCGAACACACAACCAACGGCTTGGCAGGCTAACACCTAACCATAAGGCTAAGTGGGCTGGGGCGAAAGCAAAGCCCCAAGATGAGCGCTTCACCCCATCCCAGCACGGAGAACCCACGATACGATGTGTACCCAACCACACTCACCCCTCGCATAGCGGCCAGATACATTCCTCAAAGCACTGGTGTGACTTCCACCTCCCTGACGGCCATCCCCGACATCGCTGGATTCAACGTTCTTAGGGTTTTTTTTTTTTTTTTTGTCACCCAGGGCCCTCGGGGTCCCAATATTTTCCTTTTTTTTTTCTTTGCATTTTCCTTTTTTTTTTCTTTGCTACCCACTGTACGCCTGACCCCCAAACTTTTCGGATGAATCATTTTCCCAAATGGAACTACAGCTTGGAAAGGAAGTGGTGGTTTAAAGCCAGATACACAGTATGGCCCCCAGGGAGGGGGGGGGGGGGGGGTCTTTAAACAAGTCATGATGGTCTTTAAAACATACGTCAATCAATTAGAATTTTTCACAAACCCTACACCTTAAACCCTAAGCCCTAAATTTTAGTCCAGGCCAGAAAAAAAGGAGAGGGGGCCCAGGAAGAGGAGGAGGAGGGGGAGGGGGGGAATGTAGTAATCGAACAACTCTTTCAATCATCCTTATTGACAAATCCTCACCCTTAACTCTGTCTCTTATACACATCTAGATGTGTATAAGAGACAGACTTTAGGAAGTACTAGACGCAACTTAATAGAGAAACGATCACCTCTGCTGCGAGCGGCGGACGTCATCAGATAACAAAAGCTCAAAACTTGTGGTTCAAAAACTGGGAATCAGTACTGTGGTCAGGACAGGGTACACACAACTCAGAAGTTGATGCAAGTGCCTAACAACTTGGCAATGAGTAGCACCATGGGACATTGGTACCACAGCCGTAAACGGTACCACAATTGGGAATAGCTACCATGAGAAATGGCACGATAACCAGGGGAGGATACCATAATTGGGAATGATACATGGATTGGGAGTGGGTACCACAACTAGGAATGACTTGGTACCATGATTTGGGACCAGTATGATGACTGGGAGAGGATACCACAATTGGGGAATGGGTACAATGATTGGGAGTGGGTACCACAACGGGCAACGAGTTGGTACCACGATTAGGGGCCAGTACAACGACTGGGAGACAGAGCTAAGTTTTTTCTTTTTTTAATTGGCACTTCACCCAACCCGCCCACATTCTTTTAAGCACACAGCCCGCAATCAAAAAACAACAACAACAAAAAAAAAATCATGCTGACCCAAACCACCAAGTGTTTTCTTGAAATCATTCTCCCACACCCAACCCGCCCGTCACCCCTAAAAAACCTCCACCCAGACCCGTGAAAACAACATTACCCGCCCGCATCCGGTACCTAATTATTTTCAACCTGCACCCACCTCTCAGTCCCTTCAAACATTTACATGGACCACAGCAACGTCCTTGGACAACAACGTGAAAATTTGAGGCATCTCAACTTTCGGTTGTCCCTAGACGACAGCGCAAAAACCCGAAGCGGTCCACAAGTTTGAAATTGGGGAACGAACCTTGCCACTTAACGTGGCAAGGTTCAAACATCCCGTTGTTTGGGCCGTGGTCCAGATGCCACTGGTAGAGTGTGACACATTTTTTTAAAGGAGGATCCCAAAGTTCAATTCGCCATTGGCGCATCTCTTTTTTTTTTGAGGACAACAAGGGTGGAGACTTCTCCGGTTCCCTGGGCCTCCAACTTTTGAAGTCCACAGGTGGACTGCAGCTGGGAAATATGTAGGAGGGGGGTGGGGGCGGGGGGGAGAGTTCTTATGGGTTGTCCTCGGTCTGTGGGTCGGGTGACCCAGGCTTAGGGCTCACCCGCCTGTCACCCACCTCTTCGCGTGACCCAGGCCTCGCATTGACCCGCCCGTCACCCACCCTCATGGGGTGGGTGCGGGTGGCTGTCGGTCTGGGTACCCACATTACTCATCTCTGCTGGAATGGGTAGAGCAATTGGGAGTGGGTACCACAACTGGGAATGAGTTGGTACCACAATTAGGGACCAGTTCCACTTCGGAGTTGGTAACACAGTCCGCCCATTCCACTTCGGGGTAAAAACAGCAGCATGTGCACCAAACAATGCAGACGAGCTGTGGAGCCGCCCTGGCTTATTCCACCAAACACGTCGGGGATTTCCACCACACATACACAACTCTGTAAGGACGCCATGCTGTACTGAGTACAACATAGGACCTGGCCACACACCACACTCGAAAGGAAAAAGACATATGTGGCAGGCGTATCTGGCCATGTTCTAGCGGGAAGTTCATTCTCATTGTCCACATTTTTGGAAAGCGTTATGGTGATGCCCATAGTGGCACAACCATACAGAGAGGGCAAGTTCTGACCTACATGTCCCCGCGCAAAACTGATTTGCCCCAAGTGATTCAGAAATTCACCCAACTAGTTTTCATCTAGCTCCGCACTTACATATCATCTGCATTTCAACAGCTCAAGGGTGTAACAACTGAGCTAGGGCCAAATTGGCCAATCGCCCATCGGTTGGGACTAACCCTCACTATAAAACCAAAGAAAGACAAAGAATGAAAGCCTCAATTGCGGAAGAAAAGATGGGAAAAAAAAGTTGAAAAAAAAAACATGAACATCAAACTTTGCATACATACATTGTTGACTGTAATGAATTTGAGATCTTCAATAAGAAAAAAAAAAATAAAAAAAATTTGCATACATCTGTAACAGCACACAATTTCACAAAGATCCCGACATTACAGTTAAGAATTTAATATTTATATATACGAGAGTTTTAAATTTTTAATTCATTACTCTTAATCAATCCCCTGATCTCCACACATAAGCGATGGAGGGGGAGGCCAACAACATTAAAATAACAACCCTGGACCCCCTTTACAAGGGTACCCCCAGGTCCCTGAATTCCATAACCCCCTGCCTTATCTAGTGGGTCACCTGTTGCCACGTAAGCCTGAATCGTCTCATCATCGAGCGCGGCAAACTCTACGGAACTCTTCTCCCAAAACAGGCGCACCAGCGGGGGAGTCCCAACAGCTGGGTCCGCAGCGGCGGGGACCACCAGTGCAACCCCGGTGTATACCTCATGCAACCTGCCACGTAACAATTGCAACATCTCCACAGCATCGGCCTCATCTGCCGGTTTCTCTAAGATGCGCCCCGCACATTCAACGACTGTGTCTGCTCCGATCACCAGATCAACGGCACTGGTGCTTCCGTCAGACCTCTCACTCGATGCGGTCATTATGACTTTTCTAGCGACATCAATTGCCTTGTGCATTGCAGTCTCTGCGGCATAATCTCCTGCAGTTGGGAAAGAGGATTTCACGAGGGTCTCCTCAAACGACGATGGCACAACATCAAACTTCAACCCAAGGCTTCTCAACAGTTCTGCTCGCCTCGGGGAGGCTGATGCTAAAACGATTTGCTTCTTTGCAAGCTGAGGCAGGTGCGAGAGCAACATTTTGACACCTACGCCCCCCTCCTCTCTGCTCTCTCTCTCTCTCTCTCTCTCTCTCTCTCTCTCTCTCTCTCTCTCTCTCTCTCTCTCTCTCTCTCTCTCTCTCTCTCTCTCTCAATNCCAAATTCATCCGACTAGAAACATTTCTACTCTTTTTTTTTGGCCGCGGCCGATATCTGGACCAAGTACTGGTGGTTTAAGCATTAGCCGAATTGATCGTCCAGAGGATTTTTCTGTACAGACCCCCTACGGGACTCCCTCCCACATTTACTCATTGTTACTGTTCCCGGCACTTTTTTTTTCTTTTTCTTTTTTCTCACCTTAGTGTTTTCAACTTTGAACCACCCACGATCATCAAGCCCTCATCCTAACCCTACCATCCCACTCTACCTTAGGCCGCAACGAGTGCCGGCTGCCCTTCCCATACCCTTTTTCTTAGCCCCCTATCCTTCCCATTCGTCTGATCCTTTTTTTTTTTTTTTTATCTGTTCTTTCTTTTCTCATTTTCCTTTACATCATGGGAAAGTTCCCAAAAAAAAATAATAATAAATAAATAAATAAAATTGGAGCCACTTTCCCAATCCCTTTCCCCTCCTCGCAGACCACCTTCTCACATCCAGGCGAGTCGAATGTCCAATCCGGTCCGGCGGGCTCGTCATCACAACCACCCACCCCACCCATCCTCTATCCTCGCCCGCCCCCATGATCACCATTCTCGTCATCGCATCCACCCACAAACCACACCCAACTCGTTCTCTCTTTTCATTTTCACCAAACAAGATTCCACAGTAATTCCAAAAAAACATTAAATCTACCACAAAATGTCATCCAACAAAAGTGCGAGCAACCCGCGAGCAGCCCAGGCCTGAAAAAAAAAAAACACCCAGACTGCAGAAAGGCGGCTCCGAGTGCCCGTCAGAGAAAGAAGCTGGCGACACCAGGCAAATCTCGCGCCACGACGGTTCAGATTATTTCTAGGCAGGGTGTCGTGCCAGTTCCAGATGCCGTCCAGCCGGTCAAAGAAGCGCACGGGAAAACGGTTCTCTCGCTCCCCTCCCATCTCAGAGAAGATCTCCATTGAAAGGCTGAACAACTGCTCATCATCTTCACCAAACAACCCCCCTCTACTCCACAAATGGGCTACTTATGTTTCTGAAAAGATGAACAAAATTCCAGCAAAAAAAATTGTGTAATCCAAAACATAAACACAAATCGAACTTATCAAAGGCAGCTTCAGCACACCATTTTAATACCTTTTTCCCAGACCCACAGAGATACTAATAATACCATCCCCACCGGCTTCGCAAGTCGGCGATAGATAGCAGTTCCTCCACCTCGATGGTGGCAACAGAGCCCCGTCAAACCCCTCCGTTGGCTTTGCGTGGAGACGAGATCGCACCCCCTCCTTGACGAATGGGACCAGCCTCGGAGCCCACCAAACTCCTTCATGGTGCATTGCCGATCACCTGTCTCTCATCATCCCGTCCCCCTCTCATCACCGCCTCCACCGTGATGGTGGCAACAGAGCCCAATCAAACCCCTCCGTTGGCTTCGTAAGGAGACAAGATCGCCCCCGTTCCTTCTTCATGAATAGCACCAGCCTCAGAGCCCACCAAACTCCTTCATGGTGTATTGTCGATCACCTTTCTTTCGTCATCCCGCCCCCCTCTCATTGTCGCCCCCGTACTTCTCACCTCCATCAACCTATATCCACCTTCAAACAAAAGCTGGGTGTTCAGTCCCACCACTTCACCGGAAAGATTGCACGCTATGATCACCGCACCGTGACGGCGTGACCCCTCCATACGGCCCAAACCTCATGGCCACCCCTCGTTTCTCTCCTGCTTCACATCGCAGCCTCCCCTACTCCTGTGGGAGGCACTCCCAATTGAATCCAGTCCATCATCATGAAAAAAACATTAAAAGAAATGCTGGGAGAGCATCCCATCACCAAAGATGACGGAGGTAGTCAGGGAGAATATCTTTCCTCTCCAAGTCGCCGGGCAGGTCGTCACATTCGTTGTCGATTGCATAGTTCACCAATTCATCGGCCAACGTGTTGCTGCTTCGCTGGCATGACTCAAACTCAACACACCCAATATTGCCCATGATGCCCTGGGCAATGGCCCAGCATTGCCTCAAACGCCAATTCCTAATGGTATATATCCCCTGCATCTGGTGTTTCACCAGCTGGGAGTCTCCCTCAACCCTGAGCCAGTGTACCCCCTCCATCGAAGCCATATGTAGACCCATGATCAGACCCACATATTCCGCTGCATTATTCGGCACTCCATCCCCAATAAACATGCTACCTTCTATCACTTCGTACCCATGCGGATGATACAGCACTGCCCCTGCTCCTGCCATCCCCGGATTCCCTCTTGCCCCACAATCAAACCGTACAAGGAAAGGACCCTCATAGTACGCCATTCCCTTCCCCCACCCCCCCCGATCCTTCCGGATCAAATGTCTTTCTGCGACAGCTTGCTTAAGCACACCCTTTAACGATTATTCCCTCCTCCTTTTCAGCAAGTCCCCCTCTTCGTGGACCCTCACTTTGGTACAAATAACATCCTTTTTTGCACGCCCCACGTTAAACCCCCACCACTGGTAATACTCCCAAGAGTGTGGCCCCTGCGTCGCCCCAGGTGACACAAGGATGCAATCGGGTTTCCAACTCAAGGAGCCAAAAAAAAGAAGGGGCGAAAATGCCGACAGAGCACGGCAAGCCCTGACCGAACAAGTGTTCAGAGTTCAGCGACAGTAAAATCGAACGTCGGGTAAAAGAGGCCTCTACATGTATGGTAGGTCAAACCTGCAAGTCAAACACAGATTTTGAAATCTAGATGTCAAACCTGGCAGTCAAAGTCAAACCTGGAAGTCAAACACAATGATACCAACCTGCATGGCCATACAACTGCTTAGATCCTCTCACCAACAGGTAGGAAGGCACCTTTCACATTCAATTGGGCCTCTTTCCAATACTCTCGAACTGCGCGAAACGGGAGTGAATCTTCTGCTAGATAAGCAAGATACACCGCCATGTTTACTGTATTTTGTGCATGTCGAGACTAGTGGAGCGAGGCCCCACTATTTACTTTCTCACTGGAATCTGACCGTAATTACAGCTAGACGCATCTTGGGAAGTTCTAGCTTAAGACACTGTCAGAAATTCAACTATGTTTTATAACTTTATCAACCAAATCCAGCAGGATGTCCATGGCCTGCAGGAACATGCCTTCATTAGGAAATCCACCTTAAGTTTCCACAAAGGAGGACAGAAGGGACATTATTATGGCGATCAGTCGTAGTGATGCTGCAACCCATTACAGAGGAAGCATGTCTTCCATACCAATGACAACCTGACCTTTGATCTTCGACCTTCATCCAAAGGCCAAGCTCTGACTAGATGGTCGCATTGTTTCGAGTCTTTCGACAATCATGTGTACGGTCATGATGTGTACGGTCTACCCACATGAGGACTTTTTCTTCAATCAATCTGACCGGGACTTTCCTCAATGTATCTGACCGCAACTGTACGAGTATGCCCACCCCCATTACAGCAAAGGAGTGTCTGTGGTTTGGTTTTGCCAGTGCCCCCAGCGCCCCGACCTTCCTTCAATTCCATAACCACGTGTTCCACCAAGATGCGGCAATCCGCGTGATAGAAGGTGAAGGTGAGGGTGAGCATGCGCCATGGTAAGGCGTAAGTCGTCGGTTCAAATCTGATCAAATCCACCAGGTTATTGAAGCAGGTGACCATCTTCCTTCACTTCGCCCATGGCCTCCTGTTCGACCAAGACGAGGCAGCCCAGGTGGCAAAAGGTGGGGGTGAGCTTGCGCCATGGTAAGGCGTAAGTCGTCGGTTCAAATCTGATCGAATCTGCCAGGTTATTGAAGCAGGCGACCATCTTCCTTCACTTCGCCCATGGCCGCCTCAGCTGTTCAATCCAAATGCAGCAAGTCGAAGGTAGACAGTAGGGGTGCGCATGCGCCACGGTAAGCCAGATGGTAGACGGTTCAAATCTGATCGAATCCATCAGATTCTGGAAGCGAGCGACCATCGGTAAAGCAAATGAGAGTGGGTGGAAAAATGGCACCGATCGAATCAAATCCATGCAGTGCCCCGGTTTAAATTTCTGCCTGACAGGCGGGCAAAAAAAAACAAAAAAAACAAATGAAGAAGAAGAACTTTAAAAAGGCCAACTGGGAGCCGAAGAAAGATCAGCCTAGAGGCAGGGGAGAACAATTAGCCAAAGTGGTTGGCAGGCTTGGCCTTCAACTCATTTTATAGACCCATTTAGACCACGAGTCCCTCTGGGCATATTTGTAACACCCCCAACCCCCCCCCCCCCCCAAAACAAAAAACAAAAAAACAACAAAACCCCGGACCTTCCCAGCCAGAAAAATCACTGCTACTCAAAAGACAACGACTTCCACTTTGCATATTTGTACCCCCCCCACCCCACCCCAACACACACACACACAAACAAAAACGAGGACCCCCTGGAGCCTTCCCAGCTCCTATGCATTCCGAGCTGCACAACTATTTTTCATGCCCTAACCCATTTTTGTTTGCTTATCAATTGTTCCTGCCATGTGGTGTGACCCAATCTACACCTATGATTTCTTTCAGAATTTCTCATTGCCGAAAATCAGAATAAAAAAAATCGCATCCCAGACGCTAAGACATAAAACAGTACACCGTGGAAAGGCCAGTATTAAAAATCACATTCCCAAAACCATAAGGTCCTCTTTGTTTAAAAAAAAGAAAGAAAAAAGGGAAACTTTGTCTGGCGCCCCTGTAATTTCGATTATTTTACGTTGCGCCCCTCCGACGGCCCACTTACACTGTCATGCCCCTCGGACCACGATTCAAATTTCCCATAAAACCCCGGCGTCAGCTTGGCCCGAAATATTTTTGTTCCCACAAAATAGCAGGTGTGCGTCTAAATTAGCTGGCCAGAGTTCTACGTGGGTGCGTTTAGATAAGCCAGCATGGGTGGGCATCATCCAGGGCCGTTCTTGGCCCGGGTCACCCCACTGGTTGGGTGACAGGAGGGTACGCATCTGGCTTCATCATTTAACTCACAACACCTGCGACAACCCGCAACGACCTCTCCCCCATCTACCACCCCTATTTCACAAAAGAATGAAAAAGAGG